GCGCGGGGAGGTCGCGGACCTCCCTTCCCGTGCACCCGGGGCCCTCCTGGGGAAACCCAGCACCTTCCAGCCTCCCCTGGTAGGGTCAGGTCTGCAGCGGAGGGATGGAGATTCTCCAGCATTCCCCACTGGGATTTTAGAACCGCCTCAATGAATCTTCTTCTCTGGTCACCCACCTGTGAAACTGCAGGGAGCTGGAGCACCCATCAGTCTTTTAGGGTGTGTTCGGGAGCAGGTGTGCTCAGTGCAAGAAGAGATGCTGGATTCACGCCTTCCCCCACTAAAGGGAACGTGCTTGTATCTGGTGGCAGCAGGCTTTGGAACAAACTGGCTTTTCAGTGGGTCTGACACTGCGGTATTCCCTAGGGACTCTTAGAGATGGAGTTTCTGGGTTTTGGCATCCCTCTCCTCTCAGCTGGAAGATTCAAACAGTGACAGAAGATTTCCTCCACAAGCTGCATAAAAGGTGTCTCCAATGTTGCTTTATTTTTTGGTGCAATAAGTAAAAGCTAAAGCTGCTCTTGTCTATGATATAGATTTTTTTTTTTGGTTTTGAGGGGGGAAAAGACAAAAAAAAAGAAAGCAATTTTTTTAAATATCAGGATTCATAAGACTTAGGCACCAGTTCTGGGTTTTGCCATGGTAAATATTGCACCAAGCCATTTTCAGGGCCTGGGAGAGCAGGAATTGCGAACATAGCAAAAGCATTTTTCTTGATAAGATTTCAGTGCTATTTCGTATCCTGTTTATCGGTCATTATTTCCCAATGGTGTAAACACAGGAGTTCTGTACAGTTAGAGGAGATTTAGGGCTCACCAAGTTACCCCAAAATAGGAATCTAATACCATTAGAGTAAATACATGTTTCTGCAGCTTTCTTTGCAAGTGTATAGCTCTCTTGTATATGCATAATTCCTATATCATGTGTTCCATATGTACTTAGATATTTCTGATATACAAGAGCACCTTGAGGGGCATTGCTTTCTTCTGTTTAAGAAACTGAGTCATGTTGGTGGTATCCATTTCTCTCTTTGCACTCTCACAGTTCTGACCAAATCACTTTGTTTCAAAGGGAATCTAACAATTTGTGTGTGTGTGGAGAGCTGTATTAAAATGCTGAAATGTGAGTGTTTTGTTTCAGGATGTACCCCACCTCAGTACTGCAAATTAAAGGAAATTGGGTCTAAAATCAAATAGCATCCCTGGGCTCATCCTAGAGAGACAGTCAGTTCTACAACCTGTGTAGAATAAAAAGGGGAACAAAGGCACAGATTTGTGAGATAACATTTGTAACCTAATTCTCGTTTACCTTCCCTTTTCTGTATGCTTGTCTTTCATTAGTACATCATGGCATCTGATCACTTACCTGCACAGAGAAGCCTCAAATGCTACTCCAAAAATCAAATCTGTTGTAAAATAAAGAGATTGAAACCTAAAGAAAATAATTTGAAATCATATTTTGTCTGTTGCCCCCATCTATAATGGATGAGTTAAATCTGTGACCTCACTAGGCAATAAAGTGGTTCTTTTCACGCTGGAATAACATTTAGGATCCTACTATGAGGCAGGCATCACATGGTGTCAGAAATTTCCCTATTCTAATGCAAGGGAAAATGCAAAGTAGAGACCTATTAAGTACCCCCAGGATGGGAGCAGACTAATTCCCATTGAACAGTATTCAACCAACTTGAGCATATGAGATCACAAAATAACAGAATAATTTAAGTTAGAAGGGATCTGGCCTCAACCATCTCCACCCCTCAAAATAAGTCAAATTTTAAAACCAAGTCATGTTTTTGAGGGATTTGGTTGTTGTGTTTCAAGATAAATTGTTCTCAGGATTCACACTGTAAACATGAAGATGCAATTAAATTAATATCAGCATGACATTCCAGTCCAATATATTTCAACTGGATTCCACTACTTAAGGCCTCTCAGACATTTCGATGAAGTCTTTTAGGTCGTCACAACTCGTCTCCCAGTCTGGAGAAAATCATGTGAGAATCATTTTTTATGAGGTTTTTCCGTGTAATTTCTTGACCTGGATGTTTGTAAGTGTTGCTTAGCAGAAAGCATTGCTTCTTTGAGCAGACGTGATCTCTCACTGTTTCCTTCCTTATCTGTATTTCTCTCCTCCGTCTGTTTTTCCTATCGGATATCCAGCTGATCTAAAAAAACAGGCCACGGTCCAGTCCTCGAGCTTGAAATTAATTAGCTAGAAACTTCTTTGTCCAGCTGATCTAAAAAAAACAGGCCACGGTCCAGTCCTTGAGCTTGAAATTAATTAGCTAGAAACTTCTTTTGTAAGAGTTTTTATCCACGCTAATAAAGAAAGCAAACTCTGGTCTTGTTGGGTTTTTATAATGTCTCACTGTAGCTGGTACTATAAACCTTCCCAGCATTAAAGTCTCAGAGTTCCTTCCTCATATCCCTTTATTGCTTTAAATAGATCCTTTTGTGGGCTAAAACCTTATTTAAGCTGAAAGCTACTTTCTGTCTATCATCTTCATTTACTTCATTTGTTCTATTCTTTGTTATTTCTCTATACATCCTCGAAGAAGATCCAATAACAAAATAACATAGAAAAGTAACAATACTTCTCATAATTTCTTGTGTACTCTGATGCATTTTGCTATTTTTTATCGCATTTACTTTTTTTTCTTTGTCTGACAAACTGGCTGTAACTAAGCAATTTCTTTTTATTTTTTTTTAATTAAGCAATTTTAGGATAACTAATCTAAGATAAGGAGTAGCTCTGTTTTTCTACTGCTCTACAACATTAGCCTGGGCTCAGAATATAACTCTGACATGCATAAAAATGCCCTCTTGTTAACATCAGCAAGCGATCGAGCCGTCATGATGGTATGAAACTTAATCAATGAAGCAATTGACCTGAGATTATTCCTAATCATCATGGATATTTTGAATCAATTGATGCCATTTAATGAAAATCACTTGACATTTACTGAGCTGCTTAGAACCTTTGTAGAAGCTAAAGAATGCTTTTTTAGATACCATATGCTACCTAAATAAGGCTTTTCCATAACAAAAATCCTTCTGAGTTGCAGCTGTGCTTCCTCTGTGTGCATATACAATCACTTCCTTAGACAACAAAAATATAGTGCATCAGCACTGCACTGCTATATGACCCATCAGCCAGAGAATAAAGGTGGATGTACTGACATTTCTAAACAATCTTTTGATGAATCTGACTGAAGATGCAAAAGAAAAAGCCCTGGGAGTGTGAGGAGAATGAAAGCTTGTAATGCTGTGGTTAGATGGAACATGACATTACCAAGAAACATATTGCAGCTATAATTAAAAGCAAAAGCCACAGTGTTTAAAAAATGGAAGGTATATAAAAGGATGGTAGCTTTGTTCCTCAGGGTGATCTCTGTATGATGCTTGAGAGAGTGGGGTGAAAACATGAAGATAAAACAACCAAAGAAGTGGTTTGGTTTTGTGATGCTAAAGAAGCAAGGCACTAAATATAGGAGAACAAGTACTTAGAGATGCATGAGGATGGTTTGTCCAATTAATTTTCTCTGTATACAATAACTGTATCATCTGTATAATATTTTTCTTGGGTAAAACTAACCCCCATTGTGTCCTGGGGCTCTGACTCCGTATGCACCGGTATTCTGTTGCTGTTACCTAGCCTGACTCCAGGGACACCACAAAAATATGGGCGGTTTTGTCATGCAGTCATGGACACTTGGCTCACGTGGATTCTGTCCCACAAGTTTTAATCTGCAAACTTAATTCTGCCCAAGCATCTAAGATGTTTTCTCAATTTAAAAAAATATATCTTATCTGTACTTATCTACTGTAAACATACCATTTAGATTCTTTTGAAATACTTTTTCATCTCTTCAGTTTTTTGGCTTTTAAAAAAATAAACGTCAGTGATCCCTTCTCTATGTCTATTTTATCTCATTTGTTGAATAAGAATGTCATTTCCTTCAAACCAAAGGGAAGTTACTTTTCCACACAATGAAATCTTCATTCATATTAATAGACTCTAAAGGGTTGACAAACCAGCTGTTCCTGTCCATGGAAATAGTTTTATATGTTTTATTATTCATTTGTTTCCTTTCTGTCCTCTGTCTGTTCCAACTCAAATGAATTTCTGTTGTTTTTTCATGACGAGCAGAATAATACTGACTTTTACTCACTAAAATTTGGTTTTGAGACTAAGCTTGGTCCTCTTATAAAGGCCAAGAAAAGATGCATGTTTCTCCTATGTATAGGTTGAGCCTAAAAAATAGAAGATAGGCAAACACAAGTAACCTATTTTTAACAACACAGAAGTTTCGTTACTGGTGTATACTAGTTTCTGATCTTTTATATTTAAGAGAGAGAAGAGAATCTTTTATCCAGGTTTTTTTCTTTGATAATACCAGGTCCTGTAGCAACTGTAGCGGGCCTCACACAGCTCACACCCCTACAGTAGTACTTGGCTCATCTAATTTCAAACATTAAGAGTCTAAATGCAAACTAATCATACCAGGTACTTTTCACAGTCACAGACAGCATTGAATGCAGTTTGCCTGACAATATAGATGTCTACAGAGGGCAAGATACTCAATTCCTCGGAGCGTACCCTTCTTCACCATTTCTAAAAGGAGGATAGGATGATTGCTCAGATGTAGATGTTTACTTCAGGGGTGAAATTCCACACACTGGTGGGCATCTATCTGGATGCCTAAGGTGGAAAAGTGAGCTCCCACTGTGGTTAATAGCCAGTCAAAAGTAATTAGCTAGGCTTCCTTTACAATTATGGGAAAGACACAAAAAAAGTTTCAGTTAGAAACTTATTTGTACTGTAATGTGGTGGGAGATACTGATTCCTAAGCCTTTCTATCTCTTTTAAGTGACTTTAAAGGGAGATGAGAAGTGGAGTTTGTTAAAAGATATTGAGAAA